TAATCAGAATCTAAACATGGTGCACACATGGCAACTGATTGCTACGATACAAGATTAAAGAAAACCGAGAAACACAACAGGGTCTTTCCTACGATATTATCAAGCCAGTATTTACTGAATGAATTGGCTCCTTGTTCTGCAGTGTGCTATGGGGAGAATTTTGAAAGCTAGACACGTGGGGTACAGAGAGGGAACACTTTAGATTTAGCTCTGCTTGGGTGCTGGGGTGGGGGAAAATATTGTTTGCTGGCCCATGCAATTCTTGGCACACTGGAGAGCTGGGCTACGGGAAGATAACTTGGGAAGCAGCTTGTTAGACTAGAGTGGCGAGACTGGCTCTATGCTGTTGTGCAATAGCCCAGCAGAACAGTGACTGCAAAAGCAGAATAGTGCCGTTAAGGGCACAGAACTTAGAGCCCAAGTACATGGGATCAAATCCTAGCTCTGCCCTTAGCTACCTGCATGGCCTTGGACGAGTTTCTTAACACCAGCAACCATTCCCTGAGCTGTAAACAGACTTCACACTAATTCCTGCCTCACGATGTCTTAGGGATTAGATGAAATACCCAGGAAAGTGCTCAGGCAGTGTTGAGTAGCCTTTGTTATTGTGAGAGTAGCTGTGCTGGCAGTCATGGAAGGGCGTGGTGGAGAGGAACCGAGAAGCTCCGGTGACTGTGCCCAGGCTGAGTGTGCCCAGGTCTGGTCAAGGCAATGAGCAGAGCAGGGATCACTCAAACTTTCCCAATTTCTCTCCCAGCTCCAGAACACACACTTTTGTGTGCAAACACATCACAGCTGCTTGTCACTCACAAAGATACACAATGAAGTAGGCAACAGGTTGCAGGGAGGAAAAGGTTAGGATGTTTCTGCCTCCAAAAGGAAACATGGAAATAACAGAAGACTGTCTGTGCATAAAGAACCACTGGGCACTCAAACGCAGGGTCTGAAACTCAAGAGAAAGGGCAGGATTCAAGAGAGAGTTTCAAGGGTAGCCTGCATTGATGGAACAGTAAAATCAGTATTAAAAGAGAAAAAAAAATCACAGGTGTAGATTTTCCTACGGGCTGATGAAAACACGTACACATACACACACACACAGGTGAACTTGCACTCATGGACCTTTCAGGGAACACGAGAAATAAAATAGTGAATGAAGGCAGCTGCTGAGGGCCTAAAGGGAAGCAAAAGGGTTAGAAGCAGCTGAGGAGCAGAAACCAGCGTTTCTAAGGAGAGCATTCATTCTACCATTGCGCTCAGAGAGGAGAGGCGTGGGAGGCAGCAACCAATTTGGACATTAGGGAGTAATTTAAGATGCAGGTTAATTCTGGGAAGCATTTAAAACTTCCAAATTTGGATGCCTTCTTATACAAGTAAAAGTGAAAAGACACCCAAGAGGAGAGGATTGAAGGCGGGGAGCACAGAACCCTGAGAATCAACGCCAAGGGCACTAGAAGGTAGAGGTGCCACAAAACTCTAAAAAAAAAATGCTGTTCTGGGTAAACAGGAAATTGCTGGTGCCCTCTGACAGCCTCAAAACAGCATGGTTCATGTTTGAGTTGTCCATTTATGAATTAAAAACCCTGTGAAAACAGAGGCTTTCCACAGAAAAAGAGTCCATATGTCATGCTCAGCCCTCTCAGAACTGAATGATCAAAGTTACTATCTAAAGGAACCAACCCGAAGCCGCAGCATTCAATTAGACCAGGGTGATCTGTGCCCACGTGTTAAGAATCAGGAGAAGGACTTGCTTGGTTCCAGCAGAGAACCAGGAATCTCAAAAATGCTCAGCTAGCAGCTAAAGCAAGAACACGCTTTCTTAACTAAGCATGTTTGCCCACAACCTCAGACCAAGTTTAAATAAAGATGCTTCCCAAGGAAAGCCCAGGGCCATGATTAAGCTGTGCTGGAGAATCCCTGTTGGACACAGAAGCTTTCTTTTCCCTCTCCACCCCTTCAAGTCAAAGCAGTCACTGCGAATTTCTGGGGAGGCTGTTGGGCCTTTGTGTGTCCCATCCCATGAATCTCAGGTGAAGGAGCAGCTGGTCTGTCACTGTCAGGCTGCCAGGTGAAGGCCAATGGCATCAGGTGCAGGGCTGTTCACTGACTCACTGAGGCAGTTACCTTCAAATTCCTTTCATATGCATGCAAAATGGCAAATCCCAGAAAGGACACAGTATTCCTGGACCCACTGTGTAGCTGGGTTTAGTCTATAACAATTGAGCCTTGCTCTGTTCTGGTTTCAGGTGCTCCATGAGCCACAGGTCTTTGCAGCTCAGCTCCAGGAAGGGCTCTACAAAGATCCAGGCCAGTCATGTGTGCCAAGGCAAGAGAGACAATTCCAAGGTTGGGAGCCAAGTGGTGAGGCTTAGAGAACTCCAGATCCTCCAGCTCCTGGAATCTGTGAGATCAGCAACCTACCCACGATCAGACCTGGTTGCTTTGTGGGGCTGGAGAGATAGTACAGCGGGTAGAGTTCTTGCCTCTCACACAGCCAAGTCAGGTTCTATCCCCTATCACCTATAATCCCCTGAGCCCTTCCAGAAGTGATCCTAGAATACAGAGCCCTGAGCACCACCAGCTGTGGCCTAAAATCCGAGAAATAAAACCCCTGCCTCCTAACTCCCGTTTCTGAGTTAAATTCTCATGGCAAGCATGACGACTTTGTCGCTAGTCAGATGGTAGACACTTGGGGTCTCCTCATCTGGAGATCATGACAGAGTTTATCACACAAAAACGTGCTCCCTCAAACAGGCGGCGGGCAACACAGAGCGTGAGCACATGGGTCTTGTTTAAAAGTATAACAGAACTTGACTGAAATCTGTAGCAGAAGTTGTGAATTCTAATAGGCTCTGTGCATATGGTTGATATTTGCTTTTCTTGATGCACACTGCCGGCCCTTCTGGAGGTCCACATCTGTCTGAGAGTTAAAACAGGTGTTCCCCAGGCCATAAACAGAATTTTCAGAGGCGATCTTGGGACTATCACATGGGCTCTACGTAATAGAAATGTAACTCTTGGGTATCATGAAGTTCCAGGAGAAAGGCTAGATATATCCAACAAACACAAATAATAAATAGAGACTCAAGCGAGCTAAGACTCTTAGAGATGTCACTGAGAAAGCAAGTAAGGAAGTAAGGTTATAGAAAAGGAACCATAATATTCAGCCCGGACTTCCAAATATTACTGCACAACTCAATCTGTTTGCTGGTTTATCTCTAAAGTGTAACTGGCTAAAATTCAACATTAGAACCCTAGACTTATTTGTTTGAAGCTCCACACATCATTTGGACAGGAAAAAAGTTATGGAAGATGACTTTTTATCTAAAATCACAGGCTCTGAACTTTCCAGCACAAGCAAATGTTCCAGTATATGGATAACATAGAATACTCTGGGTCTCTAGTTCTAAACTCACATACAGTGTAGTAGGTGGAACAATGATCCCTTCACCCCACAAGGATGTTGCAGCCTAAATTCCAGAATCTTTGTCAATCTGGAAATAGGGGGAGGGGGAGGGTTTGAGGGTCAGGGGACAGTTAAAGGTTCTCAATAACTGACCTTAAAATAAGGAGACTATTCTGGAGTGAGAAATGGGACCAAAAAGAAGGATAAGCATCCTTCAGGGCAGAAGGTGGAGGGCTGGAGATGGGATGCTCAAGGTGAGGACAGAGATGCTATTTTGCTGGGTCTGTAGAAGGAAGAAGACTAGGAGCCGAGGAAAGAGGGTGGCCTCTGGAAAGTGGAAACAAAGAAAATAGATTCTTCCTAGAACTTCAAGCAAAAAAAGTTGTTGTCTGCTGAAGGCCCTTGGTCTTAGCTCATTGGAACTCAACAAGGGGGCTTCCAGCCTCTACAATTGAGCATTAGCAAATCTCTGTTGTTTTAAGCCACTGTATTCATAGTCATTTGTTAACAGTCTCAGCAAAAATAAACCACACACACACATATATACACACACACATATATATACAACACTGAGAAGCAGAGGCAGCTAGAAGGCTCCTACAACTCCAGATCAAACAGTGTCTGGGTTTCTTTGGTAATAAAATCTTATTTATTTTTTTTGTCTGGTTAAACTCCAGCATCCAACTGAGTACATAGAGGATGATGTGAAAGGCACAGCTGTGTGTGTGTGTGTGTGTGTGTGTGTGTGTGTGTGTAGGGCAGTATAGCTAGAGAAGAAAACCTTTTCTCCCCTCCCATTATTCCTGCAGAGTAAGGTAGCACTATTGTTAGAAACTTGATACCTTTCTAATAGATGTGCATTAATGTAATTTCTAAACCTGCTCTCCCTTCCTCCCTTCCTTCCTTCCTTCCTTCCTTCCTTCCTTCCTTCCTTCCTTCCTTCCTTCCTCTAACTAGAGAATATAACTCCCAAATCAAGCAAATTTCTGTACTGTGGCCTTAAACACAATTCTGGGATTCAGGAAAGATTTGCTAATATTCAAAATAATATAAGAACCAATAGTCCTGGACCTGTGTTAATGAATCAGGTGACTAATTTTATTGGACTGCTAGGACTGAAACGCTGAATGAAAAACATTAGTAGATTTGACTATTAACTGCTATGAATGAATTTACTATATTTACTATGAGATTGTTTATAGATTTGGGGGTTGTTTTTGTTGCTTTCTGTAGCCTCGTTTTGTTTTCATAAAAGAAAAACATAGCAAGAGATCCTTTGAGAAAGTTAATGTATTATGAACTAAGGAAATATATTAGGAACCAAGAAAAATATAAAGATTTGTCAGCATCCTCTTGGACAACTTGAGCCAACTCTATCTAGAGATGAAGTAGGATGTGTCCAGCCCCACTTTAATCCCGTTGCCCCAAGTGAGCAGGACACTCAAGTACAAATTAGAAGTCTTGAGACTGATGTAGATGGAGCAGACCTCAGCCTGGGAGTGGGGTACAGTTACACCAAGAGTACAGGGCAGATGCCTCTGGTTTCAGGTCTGTCCCATTGAAGAGAATGCAGAGCAGACCCAGCTGACACACTTACCCTCATGTCTGCATCCACGGTTTTCGGAGTGTGGTTGAACGCATGTGCAGGGTCCTTGTTGTAGACTTTGAGGAGTGATCGGTCCTGGATGTTCCTGGAGGCAAAGACATCAAGAGTGATGGCAGATGAAAGGAGCTGCACTTGGGTCATTTCCTTTGCCCGTCTGTCAAACGGCAGGTACCACTCTGCCCAGCAGCACCCACATCACAAAAGACTTCTACCATAAAAGAGGCCCAGAAAAGAAAAAAAAAGAGAAGAAATGACTTGGGCTTTTCTTCCTTGTTCTGTCTCACTTCTTTCTGGATAATTCTCCACCCACATATATCAGGTAGCACAAACTTCCTTTCAAAATTCCCAGCAAGGAAAGTTAACACCTTCGGAAACAAGCTCCAATATTTACAATCTGCTCAAAGAGATTTGGTTAATATTTAAATATTTCACTTCAGGTTACTTTTCCCAAACATCCAGTTTTCTGCTTATCTCAGGAAAATGCCCACCTACGTAAAAAAATGTTCTTTTGCCTTCAAACATTTTCAAGCAAAGACAATGAGGTCTTTGCAGTCCAGAAAAAAAACAAAACAAAACCACAAAACACTATCATCAAGATCAAAACAATGAAGCCCTTTTAAAAAAGCTCTCTCTCTCTCTCTCTCTCTCTCTCTCTCTCTCTTCTTCCCTCCCCCCTTCCCCATCATAAGTTTTTAAAAATACTTTTTCTACCTGTAACTTGAATGACTGAACAGTCAGAGTATTTAGGAGGAATAGTCGCAGATAAATCATTCTTTGACTTGTCTACTTCTCTCTCTGATCCTGGGAGCCAGCAGCAGCAAAAGCGAGAAGTCAGAGGTTTACCCAGATCCTACCTTAAAATTAGTTAAGAGCAAAGGAATGTCTAGGAAATCCTTATCCCTCCGCGTTCAGCTTTCTGCACAGAAGGGCCACCCAAGGCACGCTCAGCCCCGTCTAGTCGATGATTCCTCCCAACCCCGGCACCGGCAGCTCTGGGGCGTGAGTGCAGGAAGACGCATTCCTTTCCTCCAGGTGCAGCTGCACGTTTTTGTGGGCTGATTGCAATCACTGGGATTATTGGGTGATGTTTTTGTTTTAAACCAAGTGGAGGATTCTTGGACGAGTCTGGCTTCCCTCCTTTAAATACCTGTCCGTCAGGGCTTTGAAGCTGGACTAGTCCCAGCTTGCAGGGCTGTGCCCGTTTAAGGAGCTCATTAGAAGCCAGCTTGGGGGAGCTCAGGGTTCTAGAGATTCAGAGGAGCTGGATCGGTGTCAAGGAGAGCATTCAGAGAAGTTAAAGGTCAGGATCTCTAGGGGAATTCACACACACACACACACACACACACACACACACACACACACACACGGCTGTCACAGTGACACTGGGAAGAAATGGAAGATCCCACAAGAGCCTGGAGAAAGAACTTTGTGTGATTCCCAAGGTGCTTAAAATACATGAGGTTGGTTTAGGATTAATTTAGAAACACGTTCATCCAAGATGAATCAACAGTACAGGCCCAGACTGCATTTGCCATGGCAACCATTACAATGCAGATTTTAACCCAACTGCAAACTGGTCCTATAGGAAAAACAGAGAGACCCCAAAGCAAGGATGAAATGGCTAATTACTGAGCAAATACCTGCCCACTTGAAAAATATCAGAGCGTGTGAAATGAACTTCTCTTTGGGGTTTTGAAGTCGAATGCCATTGTCTTACTTACAATCTACATGATTCACTTTTCTGTGTGTGTGTGTGTGTGTGTGTGTGTGTTATGCAGAATGCTGATTCTACCATTCAAAGAAAATATAATTGAGGTATTTTACAGATGAGTACAGAGATGGAATAATTCTTGAAATGGGGTGTACAGGTGAATTCCCACCTAACGTAAGCATAGTCCCCATCCAATAAAATCATTCCAACCACTCAAATCTTTCCAGATCCATGTTTTTCTGTACATTAAGACAGTGAGAAGATGAATAATAAGATGAGTCATTTACAAATCAATGACTTTACACTTCAATATTTCTAATAAGTTTTCACAAAAGTTGAGCTGCTGGTCTGCATAGTAAGGATCAAAAAGATCATAATTTTTGCAGATAGAGACTTGTTAGCTGAATTGTGAGTGATTCAGCTCACTTAAAAGAACCATTTTAAGTGATTCTTTATTCTCTCCAACTGAATTTAAGAAGGATCAAGAAGGATCATTTCAGCCTTTATCTCTTTGTCCTTTATCTTTTTGTCCTCCCTCACACTACTCTCTTTAGGGTCATATTGGGGTGACATAATAACCCGCCCCTCCCCCTCAGGAATTAACAAAGGCAGCGCAAGGAGCAATACTGGGAAAAGTGTTTATACACACACACACACACACACACACACACACACACACACACACATAGCGATAGTACAGTGGTAGGGCATTTACCTTGCGTGCAGCCGGCCCAGCCGAGCTGGGTTCAATTCCTCCGCCCCTCTCGGAGAGCCCGGCAAGCTACGAGAGTATCTCTCCCACACGGCAAAGCCTGGCAAGCTACCTTCGACATATTCAATAAGCCAAAACACAGTAATAATAAGTCTCACGGTGGAGACATTACTGGGCCCACTCGAGCAAATCGATGGACAATGGGGGGGGGCGTGACCATGACACACATATGTAATATATAGAGATACATATATCACATAATACTGTGATATAAAAATCTTTGGATGAACCCCAATTGTCCATAATAATCTCATCAGCCTTGAACACCATAATCCAAAGTGGCTTCATGCTTATTTATTACTACCACGCCCCTTGTTTCCCTTGTAGTAAGAGGGCATGCCGGTGTGGAAACACTACACAGGATGCTACTGCTGCAAATGTTCTCTTTAAATATAATGAGACCCCTTCATGTTGAACTTCATGGTTTGTAAATTCAAAACGTTTTTGGTGACAGCTTGATGAATCATTTATTTCAGAAAACAAACTTGAATTTTCGGATACCCATGAATATTTAAACACCTTTTCAAAGCCCAGTGTTGTGCGACAGATGTAGTGCCTATACCTTAGGGCGTGTGTCAAACTTTCAAAATCCTAAATTACTCATGCGCCTTGGCACACGCCTAAATATGTCATTTGGGATCATTGTTAGATACTTATCGGTTTATGTTTATTATGCACTAGAGGCACACTTTTCAAAAGGGGTTCCCATTAATTTCATAATGAAGAAACAAGGCAACTTGCTATTCTCTGCCAGCTTCTTCACCATAAGGCACAGACCCGGAAACTGAAGCTGTAAACAAGATGGGTTATGGAAGAAATAGTGTGTGTTTATTTTCGTGTGCGTGTGTGTGTGTGTGCGCGCGAGCGTGCGGCAGGGGTTAGGGGGAGGGGAGAGGGAATTGTGGCCAAATCTGGCTATGCTCAGAGCTTACTCCTGCCTCTGAGTTCAGGGATCACTTCTGGAAGTGGTCAGGGGATTTTCGGCGGATATGTGGTGCCAGGAATTGAACCAGGATCAGTAGTATGCAAGGGAAGCTCCTTAACCCCTGTACAATCTCCCTGGCACTAGAGTCTTTGGCCAAAACTGAACTGTCAGGTATGGAGCTGGGCTTGGAAATGACTGTATATAATCTGAATAACTCCCTTCATTTTTCATGCACCTGAGGCTCTGGTTCCATAAAAGGCGAGAAAGAGCTGGCTTAGTCACTCACTCATTTTTAAAGTTCTGAACTGCTGAGAGGCAATCCTAGAAACTGCTTGTTTGTGTTGATTTCAGTCTCATTTCTCAGGTTGTTTGTCTGGGGTAGATCTGAAGGGTCCCTTCTACTCAATACACAATACTGCCCCAGTCAACTGAGATGCGTTCATTTCTGTGCTTGCTGGGATAGCATGAGCTCCTTTAGTCACAGTTTGGAGTATATCCTACTGGGGAGTCCTGGAGATAACCCACCTGAAAAATGAGGTCCATTGGTAAAAGCCAGATACTTAAGAAACTGATGAAAAGTGAGAGTGCTTGTCAGACCCCTTCTGGGAAACATTGTAGAATCCACTGCTTTTAGTCTACCTCACTTGACATGTTCATAACAGCACAGTGCAGTCATTACCCATAATGCACATGGACTGGAGGAAGACCACTTGAGAGGAAATTGAGAAAGGGTTAGTCCTAAGTGCTACCTTCATCTCTTGAGCTCTTTCCTCTGCCTTTCTGGGTCTGAGTTCCCAGAACTCTTAGTTTAACAGTTTGATACTGGCACATATCACTGGTGGCTCACACTTGGCTGTGACTTAACACAAATTATAGTGCCAGTGTGAATGTTTAACAGTAATTTCCAAAGTAGTTTTTTTTTGGGGGGGGGGATTGGGGGGGAGGGTTGAGCCACATCCTGCATACTCAGGGCTTATGCCTGGTTCTGTGCCCAGGAGTGATTCCTGGTGGTGCTCAGGGGACCATATGAGGAACCAGATCAGATCTGAGTCAGCTGCATGCAAGGCAAGCTGCCTGAACTCCTGTATTCTCTCTCTAAGCCCAGTTAGCAATGCTTTTTTTTTGTACAGATATAACTACTAAAGTCCTATGTCTGTCTTCACCTCTGTAAACTACGGCTTGCAAATGAATTCTGGAAAAGAAGATAGTGACTTCACATCTGAGAGATAAGCCTGCCAATCAGGATAATGGCTCTGCTTTCTTTGCTGGGATGTGGAGAGATTAGAGATTGCAAGTACAGTAAGATTAAAGGCAATCTGGTGAGGACACACACACACACACACACACACACACAACTACTCACCTGACATCATTTAATTCATAATAGACATTTCTGCTTTCATCTTTGATGTAAATGGCTACGCTGGGCGACTCCAGCATTTTCATGGTGAGCTGCTGTGGAAAGGCACTTACGAAGAGAGCACGGATTGTGTCTGCACTTGTGATCTCATTCGGCATCCTGAGCTGCTTGGTTTCATCTCCATACTGGAGATAGAGAACTCCTGTATAGAAAATGTAGAGACATCAGTCAGCAGGCCAGCTACTCGGACACACAGCACATTAAGGAATATCTGTGACAAAAGCACTCCAGAATAATATCTGTAATACACTTTCAAGGCATGAAATGAGAGATGCAGATTCAGATTTTCCAGGGGATTCATTCTCTGACAATCAGGCAAGGATCCACACTTATTCTTTGGCCTCCAGGCTAATTTTCAACATTTAAAAACCAAACAGACAAGAAGCTAACTTCTGCTGGTTAACATCAAAAGACAATACTTAACTCCCTTGAGAGGTATATTTAGGAAATTTACCCCTGTAGGACAAGTTTGTCTTTTTTTCCCACTAGAAACATAATCATTACAGCAATGAATAGGCTACTTAGTTCGAATCATTATAGTCCATTCAGAAACATTTTAAATGAAAAGTGCTACGACATCATGTCATCCTAATACACATTTATTAAATGTTTGTACCAAAGAAAACTAGCTACAAAAAGGGAGTCTGGTCCACAAATGTTTTAGAAAGGAAATGGATCAAGTGAGTCACACTAAGAAAAACACAAGTTTGAGATCCTAGAATTATAGAGTTTTAGGGAGACCCCAAGGAATCATGCTTCCCACTTCTCACAGCCTGTGGAGTGATTTATTCCCACATAGAGTTTGAACTTGGTCATATGACTTGCTTTGATCAATAGGACTCTAGCTATATCTAGGGTACCAGAGGATCCCTTAAGTCCTCTTAAATAGCAGATCATGAGACTATACAGAGGTGTGGTTATTTTAAGTTACTATGTTTAGGTCACTCACTTGTCAAATAGACAACATGCAGAATCTATGATCCTGATTTATAAATTTTTTTTTGGCTTTTTGGGTCACACCCGTGATGCACAGGGATTACTCCTGGCTCTGCACTCAGGAATTACTCTTGGCGGTGCTCAGGGGATCATATAGGATGCTGGGAATCGAACCCGGGTTGGCCGTGTGCAAGGCAAACGCCCCCTCGCTGTACTATCACTCCAGTCTCTGATTTATAATTTAAATCCTGTTTCTTGTGAGAAACCAAGGAGGAGGAGCTACAATCACTAGACAAAGTTTTGGCAAGACACATTCAAAGAAGAATAGATGAAAACTTCTCACAAATGGCCATTTGTGAGACAAATTTCTCTCTGCTTCCTCTAGACATTCCATAAAAATGTGATGAGGAGGAATTAAAAACAACAAAGCAACAACCCATAAACCAAAGAATAGAGGGGAAAAAAAGAGCAAACAAGAAAAAGCTGATACTCTAAAGGGTGAACTCCACATAAATCATACAGGGCAGGCATCCAGGGAGGACAAAGTGTGCGAGGTCATGGGTCTGATTCCCAGTGCTACGTACATGCTCCAGGTGTGGTCAGGCAACTCTGTTGTTTGGGACTCCCAGGATACAACAACACATGTGATTCCAGGTGTACAACCAGGTGTGTGCAAGCACCTCAACGACAGATGTGAGAATATCTCAGGTAGGTGAGCCCCACAATGGAAGTGTGAGATTCCCCAGATCACACTTTTGTTGAGTGTGTGAGCACTCAATCAGAGAACTGAGTCCTAGTGCGAATCACAAATACGCATGTGTGCGACAGTCTATCACTGTAGTAACAGCAAAGGGAAAGGAAGAGTTAACACACACAGATACATACACACACACAGACACACACACATACTTACACCTGGAAAATGGTAGCTGGGGAAGATCAGGGAATGAGGTATCAGATCCTTCTGAGGTGGGAAAGTGGGGCAAGTGAAATGCAGGAAGTCTGATGTAATGTTTTTTATGTCATAGTGAAGTGCCCACATGCATTTGTCACCCAGTCAAGGGGATTCCTCTGCCCCCCAAGATTTAAAGCTGTCCAACCCAAACAACTGGCTGAACCCTGGTTCAGTGGGCTCAGCACTGGGTAGGACACACAGCTCTGACCATTGACAGGGCAGTCAGGAAATGTGCACAGCGTTCTGGGAGGGACCAAGTATTGGGGATAATGTCCAGGTTCTGCATGGTCAACCCAGATGTGTGACCCCACCTCTCTGATAGGAGGTTTCAATAAATGTTTGTTGAATGAATGGATGATTTCTTCATCATCCATAAGGAATGTACATTGTAAGGTCTTACCCAAGCCATCAGCATCTGGTGGTCATGGTTGACACACAGCCTAGCAATCTTGCTCCTGGTTTGTATACACATTAGAAATACTTGCTGAAGTGGCTGCTTTCTTACTGGGCCCCACATCCCCTTTCACCCCATCTGTTTTGATGCTTGGCTTCTGCAGCAAGCTGATTTTTTCAAACTTGCCATGCTAGGACATGTTCAGGACCCAGAAGGCGGAAGAGACAAACCTTTTAAGACTGCCTAATCACAGACCAAGTGATACTTTCACCCCAAACAGGAGATGCGGTGCCAATCCTGTGCATGGCTAATGCCACAACAAGAGGCCAAACAAAACCACAGGCCCAACCATGACTGGGTGAGGTCTCTGCTAAAAGGCCATTTAAGCCCTGTGACAAGCACAGCTCACGATCTGCAGTATATCCCCACATCTGCATCCTGTACATGTGGGAGAGCTAGAAAGAATAGTCAGAGGTTCTGAATGAAAGAGAGAAAAAGGGAGGGCCTCCACACACTGCTTATCTCAGTGTCTGGCCAGTCCAGCTGCCAGCTGGGTCCATCAGTGGGAGACAGATCATGAAAATCTGGAGAAGACAGCAATGACGTTTTTCCAGACAACAGAAGAGAGTTTCTAGACTTGATTCAGTTTGCTTCTTCCATGCATGATACTACAGTCCAGGCAGTTATCTTCATGCACGGTCCCACTGTCACAGCATCGTGACCAGACTCGGGCTGCCTGAGTCTGCGTGGGGCACTTCTGAGCAACAGAAGAAGCTTGGAGGTCTTTGGGTTGCTAACTTCCTTCCTTCCTTCCTTCCTTCCTTCCTTCCTTCCTTCCTTCCTTCCTTCCTTCCTTCCCCTCCCTCCCTCCCTCCCTCCCTCCCTTTCTTTATTATTTTATTTTTATAAAGTTGTTCATAATTTATCACATTCATTATTTCAACACCAATTCCACCCCCATTACACCTTCCCACCACCATTACTTTGAATTTTCCCACCACCACCACCCAAGCCTGACCCAAAGGCAGATGCTAAGAAATTTCTTTTCTATTGCTTGTTATAAATAACCCCCTAAAAAGGAAACATATGTATTTAGAGGAAATAAATAATTAATGATAATAATAATAATAATATGTATGTGTGTATGTATTTAGAGGAAAAGTGTATGAAAATTGGTGTAGTGAAAATTGGTGTAGTGTATCTCACTTTGGAGCCATTAAGCCCCTATAGTTGAGCCTTGTGTGCATATATATATATGTGTGTGTATATATATAGATATATATACCTTCTTGTATATATATTGAAGAAGATAGATTGCCTTCTACTTTATACCCTATCAAAGGTGATCCCAGGTGCACAACCAGGTGTGAACAAGCACCTCAACGACAGATGCGAGAGTACTTCGGGTAGGTGTGCTACTCTTGATATATCAGTGGCATAAAGTATGAGATGTAGAAAACAGATGCTTTGGAGGGTGCCTGCCATGTCCCACAGTGCACGAGTCATTCATGCCCTCTGTTGGCATCTGGTCTCAAGGACACCCCACTGCCCAGACAGGACCATGGGCATCTAGAAGGTCGAAGCAACGTATGAACACCCTGGCTGAAGCAGATGGTGACACTGACTCAGATCCACTTCTGCCAAACGGCAGAGGCCGAGGTCTGGGACGGGCACCGGGGTGAGTGGGTGGGGTGTTGAGGGGGGAGGCCTGCAGCTCCCTCAACTCTGTACTGAGTCACTTCTTTCCCCCCCGAGCTCTGCAAGCCTTGCACTTTTAGTCTGACCATCTGCTGAAGAGGTGGGAGAAGGAAGGGGGCAGCCAGAATAAAAGATTCTTGTCCCGAGTCACTGCTGGTGGGGTTATAAGCCATCCACATGCTAGCACAGCAGGGAGAGAGGGCCCAGAGCTTGTGAAGCTGCAGAAGATGGCCACGGAGAATGGCCACAAGGGTCCTCACAGGGGGTGGCCATGAAGGACGGACAGAGAGGGTCATGGGAGATGTGCATATGGAAGATGGTCACATGGAAAATGGTCCAGGGGCTGGCCATGGAGAATGGCCATGAAGGATAATCTTGGGGGATGGGCCGGGTTCTCAGTCCTCAGCAGTTCTTTTACCTCAAGGGGACTCCAATGCCACAGGAACTTTCCACCAAAACCTTTTGGCTGCAGTTTGACAAAACTAGGTTCACTCACAGATCCCGTTGTTGCTGCCTATCCTCCAAGTCTCCCGACTCAGGATTAGTTCCAGAACATGGAAGATCTTCCATGAGTCTTGAGAGGGTATGCATGGATTTCCTCTGGGTGATGCTGCAATAAGCTAAGGAGTCTCTGTGTACCTCCAAATGGCCCTGATCTCCAATGTGATGGGATCAGGGATGCTCTGGAAGGTAATTAGGGCATGAAGCAGAAGTTCCCTGTGGGGCTGAGCCCCTTTATTAGAAGGTTCAGGGCAGGCAAGGCAGTCATCTGAAAATGAGATGTGCACTCGGCTTTCAATGCCTAATCCCTTCCAGTTAGCAGATCCATGGGTACCTCAAGTTTAAACTTCCCCAACCTTTGGGACAGTGAGAAATCAACTGCTATTTAAAACATTCAGTCCATGACTGTTGATAGAGCAGCCAAAATGGACGAAGCCTGCTTCAGTCTCCGATCCCCATCTTATGCCCTGCTGAGGGCACTGTGGCTGGCTGGCAGTCTTGCTGCCCTCTGAGCATACCACACACATCCACACTGCTGCAACACCCCACCACTTCTTTGGCTTGCATGTGACCTCCTTGGGCCAGTTTACTTAGTCTTCCACCACTTTGCCATTAAAAACAGAGGTAGGAGGCATGAGATAGAATTTAGGGGTTAAGG